CAATCTTTCTTATTTATTCTATACGAAACAAGTATTTCTTTTTTCGGTAAAGGGTTTTGTGGATATAATAATAATTTACTAATTGAATTGATGAGTCAATTAAAGCTAGAGCATTATGGAAAACTTGAAAGTACTGAATGACCGTTTCATCTTAGTATGGGACTTCTCAATAGTACGCATCCACGATACCGCACTTGAGATTTGAATCTAGGATCTATCGGTCTTGTTCGCTAACGTTTAACTACTATATCAATGAGTCAATCGGTATCCAACAATGTTATTGTTTGACATCAATCAATTTACGAAATCGCTCTACCGTTTACCATTGTCTCCAATGAGTTACTGTCTGACGGCAGAACTGGCTGAACTCCATTGAGTTTTTAATAACTTAGAAGTAATTATTTTATTATTATGCTTAAAACTAATTATTATTTCAATAGCTGAGATCATGAGTCAATTGAAGCTGGACCACCATGGAAAACCTGGGAGCACTGTAAGGCCGTTTCGTCCTATTATTGGACTCCCCAGCAGTGCAGATCCACGATCCCACCTCGCTAGATTCAAAGTCAGGACCAATCAGTCTCGCGCGCGAACACTTAACCACTAGACCGCTTAATAAATTTCAGAAATAAAAAATAAATATTCATCATCCTGTATTACTAAACATATAATCGAAACACGTTATAAGATTATAAGCATAGATGGATAGTGGATAGCAGTGGAATCCAGTTTGACGCACGTTTCGTCCTACTTGGGGCTCGTCAACTGGACATACCTGCATCTCAGAGTTGATGTTCACTCTGGGACTTGAACCCAGTACCTTTCGCTCCAAACGCCATCACGTTATCCACTTAGCTACTGAGTCCTGATAGCCACTGCCTTGTGCAATGTGGTGAAGTTTGAATTCAATTGTTATTATTTCTTTGAATCTTCTCATTGATATTTAGGACTGCGATTGATCGGTCTCTTATTAACGTATGTGTATGCTGTGCGTAATGCCTCGATATAGCCTGAAGTCACAAGCATTGTAAGCAAAGATGGATAGTGGCAAGCAGTGGTATCCACTCTTGAACTCGAACTTAGTACCGTCATAAGATTGATCTTAACTTGACTTTTGTAGTGTTGTATAAAAGTGTAAAAAGGGCGTATACTGAGGTTTATTGAAGCCTTAACCATACAAAAATTCAAATCCTCTATGTGTATTCAAAAACAGTTTGTTCTCACCTTAAATGTACTTTGGGAATATTAGCTTATTATCCAGACTAGTTGACCTTTTATTTTCATATATAAATGATCTTAACAAGTATATGTATGATTAGATTGTTCGAAATGTAATGCGCTAATATCTCATCCCATAGTTCTGATAATCTTAGTCTTCTTTATTACACTATCGAAATGCAAAATTTGTTGATTCCATTAAAAAAAAAGTTAGACATTAACACCGTTGGATGCCTGCTGTCTCAACGGTCTAGTATTTAAGCGCTAGCGCTCAAGACTGACAGTTCCTCGGTTCAAATCTCGAGAAGTGGGTTCGTTGATCATGTTATGCTATACAAGTTACAGTAATTATAAAAAGTGTTCAACCATCTTGTTACTAGTTTCTGGTGTACTATTATTGTAGTGCATCAGTCAGAGTGAGGGCATACAACCACCTTTCTCCCTTGTTCCATTCGAGCAGTGGGGTTAGGCAGGGTTGCCCGATCTCCCCATTCCTCTTCAACTTTGCCATCGACGACATCCTAGAAACAGCTCCGATGGATGTAAGTAATGGCGGTGTGGATATGTTGCCTGGAGAACGACTTCTCCACCTCGAGTATGCGGATGATATTGACTTACTGTGCGATAATGCCCAAGGCATGCAATCCACACTGAATCAGTTGGCAATCAGTGTCCGCAGGTACGGCATGTGCTTTGCACCCTCCAAGTGCAAAGTACTTCTACAAGACTGGCAGGATTCTCATCCTGTACTCACCCTGGATGGTGAGCAGATCGAAGTAGTTGAGAAGTTCGTGTATCTAGGTAGCTATATAAGTGCTGGTGGTGGCGTGAGTGATGAGATTGATGCACGTATAATGAAAGCCAGAGTGGCTTATGCCAATCTGGGCCATCTTTGGCGCCTTCGTGATGTTAGTCTGGCTGTAAAAGGTCGGATCTACAACGCGTCGGTGAGAGCAGTTTTGCTCTATGCTTGTGAAACCTGGCCTCTCCGAGTTGAGGATGCTAGACGTCTCTCTGTGTTCGATCATCGTTGTCTCCGAAGGATTGCTGACATCCAGTGGCAACACCATGTTAGTAATGCAGAGGTTCAGCATCGTGTGTTCGGGCGCAGAGACGATAATTCAATTGGTGTCACCATCTTGAAACACCGACTTCGGTGGCTCGGACATGTTTTACGAATGTCGTCCCAGAGACTTCCGCGTCGTGCATTATTTGCCGACCCTGGGACTGGTTGGAGAAAGCGGAGAGGAGGTCAGTGTATGACATGGTGTCGTGGCATGAAAGAGAGCTGCAAAGGGCTAGCTTCTGTTGGTCCTTCACGACTCCCTGGTTGGGGTCCGAGAGATAGTGCAACACAGTGGCTAGAGACGTTATCGGATATGGCTCAGAATAGAAGCCAGTGGCGATCCTGCTGCAACCTTCTTTTACTTTCTACATAAAGAATGGTTCTAACTTTCCTAACTGAAAGAATCTTCTGGTTGTACATTTCAGCCCGCCTTATCTTTTCATCCTTTATCTACCTACTTTCATTATTTTGTGTGGCGCATATGTACCTGGTGCCCTTTTGTACCAATATATATGTGTTTAAATAAATAAATAAATAAATAAGTGCATCAGTCATAATAAAATTATGACAGGTTATAGTTTATACTACTAATATCATTAGATTTAAGTAGTATATATTACTAATCGAAATTGAAATGCCTAACGATAAAAAAGATTGAGAAATTTGAAGAGAAGAGAATGAGAACAGAAAGTGATTAGTATAGAAATGAAGGAATAACAAAGTTTGATATAATTGACGGATATTTTGTAGATGAAGTAATCATTGTATAGTTCTTACCAAGATATTCTATAATTGATATATACGATTGTGAGATAGTAGAGAAGATTCATAGCTCAAGTGGATGATTTTGATAGAGTTTTGTTCTCTAAGCTGAATGGTTTGATCGTAGAGCTTTCATCTTCCATCTGAATAACATCATCAACACAAAAGATTGTTGCCATATTTGTTCTCGTTCACTACATGGTAACCATTTCTATGGAACATGAAAATGAAATCTTTATCGAAATATATTTGTGACTGAATTAGTCATTCATAGATCTTTTATAACAAATTTCTGAGTTAGAATAATAATAACCACAGAAAGAAGACCCTATCATACTATGGATAGAGAACAAAGTACATCAATCTTTTAATCAATGTCATCATCAACTAACAGTTGGTCTTCAGTATACGAGGTATATAGAAACTATTTGATTATACTACTATACAATCTCAAAAATCGTGTGCTAATTAGTAACCAACGTCTAGATGAGAATTACAGGAATTCTAGTAAGGAGTCATGATTAACTAATACAACGATGTTAAGTGTGAGACGACAGTGGGCTCACCATGTGCAATTGAAGATGGTCAAAGGATGTTGCAAATTGATTGACTTTAAGTAAATACACCATTATTGCACCAATCGAATCTCACTTTGGAGGATGTGGAAACCTTTACATATCTGGACAGCATCATTGTTGAACACGGTGGATATGATGCAGATAGATGTAAAGTCAACGATCGGCAAAGCAAGAGCATCATATTTACAACTGAAGAACATCTGGAACTCAAAACAATTGTCAACCAACACCAAGATCAGAGTTTTCAATACAAATGTCAAGACAGTTCTACTGTATGGGGCAGAAACCTGGAGAACTACGAAAGCCATTATCCACAAGATACAAGTGTTTATTAACAGTTGTCTACGCAAGATACTTCGGATCCGTTTGCCAGACACTATCAGCAACAAGTCACTCTGGGACAGGATTAACCAGAATTCAGTGGAGGAAGAAATCAGGAAGAAGCGCTGGAAATGGATTGGACACAGTTTGAGGAAGACAGCCAATTGCATCACAAGGCAAGCCCTCACATTGAATCCTGAAGGCCAAAGGAGAAGAGGAAAAGCAAAGAACACAATACGCCGAGAAATGGAGACAGACATGAGAAGAATGAACAAAAGTTGGATAGAACTAGATAAGTAGACCCAAGACAGAGTGGGTTTGAGAATGTTGGTCGGTGGCCTATGCTTCATTAAGAGTAACAAGCGTAAGTAAGCAAAAGTAAGTAAAGCAATATACACCATTATACTCTACCGTATTAGTTATGAGATTAACCGGTCACATAGAAGAGAGAAGGTTCTAAGTTCAATACTTCATAATACATTATACAATTCGATGGTGGTTCAACAAAGAGCACTGATCATTTCTATTTGATAAGTCTATCACACAATGAACATGATCTATTTTAATCTCTTATGTAATCATTTTTATAGATATCAAGAAACCACTAAAACAATTCGATAAATAAGACAGACCAAACGAAAGAGAAAATGAAACTACTCACACTATTTGTAGTGTTTATACTACAATGTTATTTATTCGAATTGAGACCACGTCAAATGAATGAAAGTGAACAAACAAAATTAATACGACATAAACGATCAGACGGTAAGTATTTCCATAAAGATAAATTAGCATGGAATAACAAAAGGGGGGAAACAAAGACAGATCATTAGCAAAAACAAACAGTTAGATCCGATTCCCACAACAACAACGTCGGTCGTCTCACAATCACCTTGCCGATTACTGTTCTGTCTGTCTGCCTATCAATCGGTCTATCTGCCTATCTGCCTCACTGTCCTTCTGTCTGTTTGTCTGTTCGTCCGCCTTCTGTCTTTCCACCTCACAACCTCCATCACACACTCTCACTCTCCATACATTTACACTTAACCACTTCACAATCACACAACATTCATTGATCACTCGACACGCACAACTCAATCTCACTTGATTACTCTCATTGTCAAGTGCAATATTCGAGTGTGTGTGTGTGTGTTTGTATGTGCATTGACCAGTTGACTCACTCTTTTCAATCAATCACCTTGTAGATAACGGAGGAGATGTTGACAGTGGTCATCAACCCAACGACAATTATAACCACAGTGAGTATTCATCATTCATTTGCATCACTGTAATTTCATGCTGTTTGCATTATCTCACACACGTGTCAACCGTCTGCTCCGTACAACTACACACAAACACATTAATTCATACACATACAACCACACACACTCACACACTTATCAATACACACACAAACATTGTGAAACACACTCAATCATTCACTCACTCACTCACACACTCACACTCTAATTTATTCATTCACTCAATCTCTCACTCACTCACTCACTCACTCACTCACCCACTCAAACATCCTATCAATCAGTCAATCAATCCATCAATCTCTCTATTCCATTCACCTCAATTCTCCACATACACAACCATCAAACCTCCCACATGGAACACATTTCACAATCAAATCAATCATTGCTTCAATCACATCCCTCTACATATACCACATTCCCTCCATCTATATTTATATGACAATGTGTACATTTATAAATACTCACATGTATAAATTGATTTTCATATAGTGGAATCGCACAAATTCCCCATTCTCATCTCACCATCGCTCACAATCTACCTCTCCATTCACAACAACAACAACGTCGGTCGTCTCACAATCACCTTGCCGATTACTGTTCTGTTTGTCTGCCTGTCAATCGGTCTATCTGCCTATCTGCCTCACTGTCCTTCTGTCTGTTTGTCTGTTCGTCCGCCTTCTGTCTTTCCACCTCACAACCTCCATCACACACTCTCACTCTCCATACATTTACACTTAACCACTTCACAATCACACAACATTCATTGATCACTCGACATGCACAACTCAATCTCATTTGATTACTCTCATTGTCAAGTGCAATATTCGAGTGTGTGTGTGTGTGTGTTTGTATGTGCATTGACCAGTTGACTCACTATTTTCAATCAATCACCTTGTAGATAACGGAGGAGATGTTGACAGTGGTGATCAACCCAACGACAATTATAACCACAGTGAGTATTCATCATTCATTTGCATCACTGTAATTTCATGCTGTTTGCTTCATCTCACACACGTGTCAACCGTCTGCTCCGTACAACTACACACAAACACATTAATTCATACACATACAACCACACACACTCACACACTTATCAATACACACACAAACATTGTGAAACACACTCACTCACTCACTCACACACTCACACACTCATACGATAATTTATTCATTCACTCAAACTCTCGCTCACTCACTCACTCACTCACTCAAACATCCTATCAATCAGTCAATCAATCCATCAATCTCTCTATTCCATTCACCTCAATTCTCCACATACACAACCATCAAACCTCCCACATGGAACACATTTCACAATCAAATCAATCATTGCTTCAATCACATCCCTCTACATATACCACATTCCCTCCATCTATATTTATATGACAATATGTACATTTATAAATACTCACATGTATTAATTGATTTTCATATAGTGGAATCGCACAAATTCCCCATTCTCATCTCACCATCGCTCACAATCTACCTCTACATTCACAACAACAACGTCGGTCGTCTCACAATCACCTTGCCGATTACTGTTCTGTCTGTCTGCCTGACAATCGGTCTATCTGCCTATCTGCCTCACTGTCCTTCTGTCTGTTTGTCTGTTTGTCCACCGTCTGTCTTTCCACCTCACAACCTCCATCACACACTCTCACTCTCCATACATTTACACTTAACCACTTCACAATCACACAACATTCATTGATCACTCGACACGCACAACTCAATCTCACTTGATTACTCTCATTGTCAAGTGCAATATTCGAGTGTGTGTGTGTGTGTGTTTGTATGTGCATTGACCAGTTGACTCACTCTTTTCAATCAATCACCTTGTAGATAACGGAGGAGATGTTGACAGTGGTGATCAACCCAACGACAATTATAACCACAGTGAGTATTCATCATTCATTTGTATAACTGTAATTTCATGCTGTTTGCTTCATCTCACACACGTGTCAACCATCTCCACCGTACAACTACACACAAACACATTAATTCATACACATACAACCACACACACTCACACACTTATCAATACACACACAAACATTGTGAAACACACTCAATCATTCACTCACTCACTCACACACTCACACTCTAATTTATTCATTCACTCAATCTCTCACTCACTCACTCACTCACTCACTCACCCACTCAAACATCCTATCAATCAGTCAATCAATCCATCAATCTCTCTATTCCATTCACCTCAATTCTCCACATACACTACCATCAAACCTCCCACATGGAACACATTTCACAATCAAATCAATCATTGCTTCAATCACATTCCTCTACATATACCACATTCCCTCCATCTATATTTATATGACAATGTGTACATTTATAAATACTCACATGTATAAATTGATTTTCATATAGTGGAATCGCACAAATTCCCCATTCTCATCTCACCATCGCTCACAATCTACCTCTCCATTCACAACAACAACAACGTCGGTCGTCTCACAATCACCTTGCCGATTACTGTTCTGTCTGTCTGCCTGTCAATCGGTCTATCTGCCTATCTGCCTCACTGTCCTTCTGTCTGTTTGTCTGTTCGTCTACCGTCTGTCTTTCCACCTCACAACCTCCATCACACACTCTCACTCTCCATACATTTACACTTAACCACTTCACAATCACACAACATTCATTGATCACTCGACACGCACAACTCAATCTCATTTGATTACTCTCATTGTCAAGTGCAATATTCGAGTGTGTGTGTGTGTGTGTTTGTATGTGCATTGACCAGTTGACTCACTCTTTTCAATCAATCACCTTGTAGATAACGGAGGAGATGTTGACAGTGGTCATCAACCCAACGACAATTATAACCACAGTGAGTATTCATCATTCATTTGTATAACTGTAATTTCATGCTGTTTGCTTCATCTCACACACGTGTCAACCGTCTGCACCGTACAACTACACACAAACACATTAATTCATACACATACAACCACACACACTCACACACTTATCAATACACAAACGAACATTGTGAAACACACTCAATCATTCACTCACTCACTCACACACTCACACTCTAATTTATTCATTCACTCAAACTCACGCTCACTCACTCACTCACTCACCCACTAAAACATTCTATCAATCAGTCAATCAATCCATCAATCTCTCTATTCCATTCACCTCAATTCTCCACATACACAACCATCAAACCTCCCACATGGAACACATTTCACAATCAAATCAATCATTGCTTCAATCACATCCCTCTACATATACCACATTCCCTCCATCTATATTTATATGACAATATGTACATTTATAAATACTCACATGTATAAATTGATTTTCATATAGTGGAATCGCACAAATTCCCCATTCTCATCTCACCATCGCTCACAATCTACCTCTCCATTCACAACAACAACGTCGGTCGTCTCACAATCACCTTGCCGATTACTGTTCTGTCTGTCTGCCTGACAATCGGTCTATCTGCCTATCTGCCTCACTGTCCTTCTGTCTGTTTGTCTGTTCGTCTACCGTCTGTCTTTCCACCTCACAACCTCCATCACACACTCTCACTCTCCATACATTTACACTTAACCACTTCACAATCACACAACATTCATTGATCACTCGACACGCACAACTCAATCTCATTTGATTACTCTCATTGTCAAGTGCAATATTCGAGTGTGTGTGTGTGTGTGTTTGTATGTGCATTGACCAGTTGACTCACTATTTTCAATCAATCACCTTGTAGATAACGGAGGAGATGTTGACAGTGGTGATCAACCCAACGACAATTATAACCACAGTGAGTATTCATCATTCATTTGTATAACTGTAATTTCATGCTGTTTGCTTCATCTCACACACGTGTCAACCATCTCCACCGTACAACTACACACAAACACATTAATTCATACACATACAACCACACACACTCACACACTTATCAATACACACACAAACATTGTGAAACACACTCAATCATTCACTCACTCACTCACACACTCACACACTCATTCATTCATTCACTCAATCTCTCACTCACTCACTCACTCACCCACTCAAACATCCTATCAATCAGTCAATCAATCCATCAATCTCTCTATTCCATTCACCTCAATTCTCCACATACACAACCATCAAACCTCCCACATGGAACACATTTCACAATCAAATCAATCATTGCTTCAATCACATCCCTCTACATATACCACATTCCCTCCATCTATATTTATATGACAATATGTACATTTATAAATACTCACATGTATAAATTGATTTTCATATAGTGGAATCGCACAAATTCCCCATTCTCATCTCACCATCGCTCACAATCTACCTCTCCATTCACAACAAACAACGTCGGTCGTCTCACAATCACCTTGCCGATTACTGTTCTGTCTGTCTGCCTGTCAATCGGTCTATCTGCCTATCTGCCTCACTGTCCTTCTGTCTGTTTGTCTGTTCGTCTACCGTCTGTCTTTCCACCTCACAACCTCCATCACACAC